CAAATAATAAATAATTGCTTGAGTTGATTGAGAGGTGTGTTTTGTTGACATACCAATTCAGTGCAATTTCCAGCAGAGGTCATTGTGAGATTGCAGATCAGGAGGATGGCTGCTCGAGTGTATTGCTCGTTGATGTGGCTGTTTTCACACAGCTGCTTTCTGGCGTTAGTGCCTTTTGTGTAAATTCCTCTCCCTGAGACCCAAACACCCCTGGACAGCCATAATTTAGGAACGTATTGGTACAGTTTTACACAATACCACATTATGCCATGGGGACTTGACGCTAGTAATGACCCTAAAATCCGTTAATTCTTGCATTTATGCTGCAGCCTTTTTCTGCACCTTTTGCAAACTCTGTGCGTTTCTGTCTTCTCATGGAGGTTCTTCAGATGGTCAGGAGTGACCGATGCATCTGCCTCATGGGCTGCAGTCAGTTTCTCCTCTGTACACGTCATCCATTTTTAAGAAGTACAATTTTGAAGTTGTACTTTTTACTAGTACGCCTATACCGTCTAATGTTTCAGGAGTGACAAACGCAAGTGTAAATTAAGATGGGGGGGAATAAAGAGCTGTGCATTAAATGATTTGGACTAAATTCAGAGTAACAACTACTGCAGCAGCAAGTCTCTTGGCTGAATATATTTAGCAGCTTCTACAGTTAAAGAAAACTTAATAGCATTTAATATAAAATATATTTAATTGTGCATGTATACAATATATAATTTGTATAAATAATCCCAGGTAGTTTCTGCAATGAACAATAAATAGAAGTAAATAATTAAATTTCTAACAAATATTTGCATACTGTTCCTGTAAAACAGCACATTTCAAATGAAACAATATCAAAAACTTTCTCTTAACGTGTAATTAGTGAACTAATAATTACTGGATGTAAACAGGATGTAAAGGAGCATATAAACAACTTAAGATACATTATACGACATCCTCATTACGATATGAAAGTATAACAAATGTAGAATATATTGTATGGAATTAGAAACATAATTAAACAAGATATTACAAACATTAGCAAGATAAGCAGCGATGCTAGCGGCATGTTTCATGTGATGAATTAATGATCATAAGGATCGCGAACCACCAAACATCACAGGCTTAATGTAGAAACAGATTTCAGCAGTATAAACATCCAGTATTACAAACATAATGTCATGGAATAAACTTACGTCGTCAAGACTTTCTTTAGGAGTCTTTGGTTTCATCCTCAAAGGCTGGCAATGTAATGAGGTGAGCTACTGGCCTGGTATACACTTTGCCTTGAACACTGACGTCTGCTGTTCTCACACATCCATCATTGCTGACCACAGTCTTGGTAACTTTGCCAGTGGGCCACTGAGCCCTTGGAAGTTGTGGATCGATTATCAAAACCACTGCTCCTACTGTCAGAGAGTCTGATGGCTTGTGCCACTTCTGGCGTGTCTGTAGTGTGGGCAAGTAATTCCTTGTAAATTGAGTCCAAAACTGGTCCACACAATTTTGACAATGGCACCATCTGCACCGCCCCATTTCTCCTGAAGCATACACCACCTGCGGAAGTGATGCATCCCACCGTCCCATGAGGAGAATGTTTGGTGTAATGGCGTCTAGGATCTGCAATGTCTGTGGAGACGTATCCAAGGGGTTTAGAATTTAAAATGCCCTCTACCTCTACTAATACTGTAGACAGGACATCTTCTGAGACAGACTGGCCTCCAACTGCCACCTGTAGAGCAGCTTTGATGGAGCTGAATGCTGTTCATAGAGTTCTAGACAGTTCATTCACAAACTGGTCACAGGCTCAACACTTCGCTGTGCAACTGGCTATTGGACTTCCTGACTGGGAGACCTCAGGCAGTACGTGTCGACAGTAACACATCCAGCACCATCACACTGAACACTGGGGCCCCACAAGGATGTGTGCTGAGCCCCCTCCTCTTCACTCTGCTGACCCACGACTGCACACCGTC